CCTTCTGACAGAAGGATAATTCCACGTGGATCAAATAAATACAGATGTGTAGTAATTAGTTCTATTCCCAGTGAGCCTATTTTCAACACTCTAAAGATGTGAGCGATTATGGAACCTCACCCCAACAGCTTTTATCAATTTAAACTGCTAAACAACAGGATAGGTCATAACCCAGCCTGCTATTAATAATGTATTTATTATGTACAACATTACAAATTGGGGTAGGGCCTAGAAAAAGATACCTTTTAAGAGGAGTGATTTGATTATCCTCCAGAAGCAACACATGTGCCTGGCCACTCACCTGCTGTACAGTCCCAAGGCAATCAAAAGAATAAAAAACCTCATCCAAGGAAAAGAGGCCTACATCGTGGGCGGGCTCCTCCAAAGAGACGATTTGGCTGTGGCCGATATGTTGAACGTGCCCATCCTGGGCTCAGAGCCTGAGCTGGTTCACCTTTACAGTAGCAAGTCTGGAAGTAAACGGATCTTTGACAATGCTAGTGTGCCAATGCCTCCTGGAGTGTATGACATCTATTCTTACCAACAGGTATGTAGGGTAGCTTTGTTCAAGTATCTTCTATCCCCTTGGCCTTGTACAACTTCAGGTAATCTGGTTCCAACCCTGCCCAGTGAAGACTACGAGAACGCTTAGGTTGCTCTGAAGAGATCTTCATTATGCCTTCAAGTTTTGTTTCTGTTTGTCTCCTAGGGCTTCTCACATGCTAGGTAAGTACTACAAGGCTTTATCCTCTTTATCAGCTCTCCTTTAACTTTTTGAGACAATGGTTTGCTAAGTTATGCAAGCTGGTCCTGAACTTGTGGTCCTCCTGCCTCACCTTCCCGAGAATCTATGAGTACGTGTCTGAACCACAGGCCTTGAGGCCTTCATGTTTTAAAGTATCTTTCTACTGACATTATGCAAATTACTAAAATTTCCATATTGTTTACCTTTTGGGTTAACTTCCTGAGTGCGGTTGAAGTTATCACTGGGAGTAATCTACCATCAGTATTCTGCGCCTTAATACATTCACCAGCCAGCCATTTACTAAGAACACGAGAAGTGAGTTTGGAAGCTTTCAAGTGCTGGGCGAGACCGCAGAGTGCTGCATGTATTTTTGGCTCTGCAGATAATTACGTTGGCTCTTTAGGAAGGGCTCTGAAAAGAGTAGGAGACTTAGCCCAGAAACAGACAGTGAAATGAAACAGGAAGAGGAAATCACACTTTGGAAAGACCATTTTGAAGGTGCTATGAGTACATCAAGTTTCCTTGAAGTGTTGGAGTCTTCTATGGAGAGTTCCTGGCCAACACACTGGCTTAGAGCAGAACACGGTGCGGGATTTTAGTTGGGGAGTGATGTGGAGGCTTCCACTGTCATTAGCTTCCACGGAAGGGGAAGGTGGGGTGCCCGGGTAGTTGCTTAACTCTGCTTCCTGACAGAATTTTTTAGCTCTCACTTAATGTGAGAGAGACAGATTTTTAAATGATACAGCTCAACATACAAACCACATGAAACAATCCTCATGTCTTTCAATATGCATCTGCAAAATTTCTATTGCGTCTTAGTTGCATCTTCATTGATAATAGCTCAGTCAATCTCTGCTCTGAAATATTTTAGAATTTATCCCTATGTTGTGGTTAAAAGTGTGGGCACATCTAATACAATGCAAACTCTGTCTAGTGCTAGCATTCAAAAGTAGGACTAAAACCTCCATAGACCCTCAGATCTGAGGGCTGTTATTTGACAGAAAGCATTATCAATGGTATAGCAGTAAGCCAAGTTGTTTCTGAGTTCTCTGCTTGTTTGGAAGACATGCATCTGACGTCAGCAAGAACTGAAGTACTCCGCTGAGGCTTTTCTAGATAGTAACGGCTCTACCTAATCAAGCTGTGGCTCTCAGTATTTTGAGTCTGAAGATGAAGATGAATCAGTCCTGACTTTTTATTGATGTGCATTGTGAACTTAAAGTGAGTGAAAGCTGTGATTATTTTAACTTAGGTTAATATGTATTCTTAGGTCTTAGTTGGATTTTAACAGTGGTAATTTTTCTGCTTCTCTTCACCAGTATACAGTGAATTGCAACTAAAAATATATTGTACTTTTAAAAACAGACTCAAACAGAAAATGACAGATGTTTGGAAATAGCATAAAGTCATGTGGTTTATGACTGAATTTTTTACTCTAGCATGAGCACAGTGAGCATTTCCTGTTTTGATCCATAAAATAACCAGTAAGTCCTTTTTGGCATGTGCTCTGCATGAAATATTGACAGCTTTGGTTAAATAATCAAAAATGGCAATGGTAGTTTAAAGCACTGTTCAATTTTCACTTAAAGATAGCACATAATTCTTTTCAGTGGCATAGTCTTTACAATACTATTGATTGTTTTCATTACTGTAGGGGATCCAACTACACGCACCCATTTATAGGATTCTCAGAAGCAACAAATAATAGGATTTGGAGAAAACACATACTAATTCTGTTAGCATTTGAGGCCTCCAAGTCTACAACATATCTAAACATACAATTTTTAAAGGCTATGCTGGAATACCTTTCCTTAAACTAGCAAAATAATTTTTACCCAGTATTAAGAGGTTGAATAGTACTTCTACTTCTATAACTTGTGATTCCAGTACACACAGATCACAAAAATATGATTAAATATAGAGACAGCATCTCAGCTAACTGGAAAAAGAAAGGATGCAACCCTGGAAGACACATTAGGAACCTCCTTTTCTGTGTTCATAGCCATATATCATGCAGACAAGAGCACTTGTCATTTAAACATTCAAATTCTCAATAAACACTACTTGATAATTAGGGAGCTTAGACAATTGCATTTTCACTTTTATTGAATAAGCCATAGTTGCATCAATTTCCTGGGGAGCTGCAGTGTGACTATTTTAGGAGTCTCTTCCACACTGCCATATCATGTAGCATCTTTAACATCATTTGCTGAGTAGACACAATTCAGAATAACACATGGTACCTTTAACCAAAACCATTTTAACTTTGTAGTTTCAGACCTCAGCCGAACCATAAATCTTCAGTGCTCTCAAACTCTATAGTTAAAACACAAAAACCCATTTGGTAGTCAAAAGAATAGATGTGCTGCATAATTTTATGTCAGCCTGACACAACCTATAATCATCTAAGAGGGAGCTCAACTGAGAAAATGCCTCATAAGATCAGCTGTAGGCAGGTCTGTAGGACATTTTCTTAATTAGTGATTGATGTGGGAGGGCCCAGCCCATTGTAGGTGGTGCCATCCATGGATTGGTGGTCCTGGGTCTGTAAGAAAGCAGCATGAGGGGACTGGCAAGATGGATCAGAGGTTAAGAGCACTGACTGCTCTTCCAGAAGTCCTGAATTTAATTCCCAGCACCCACATGGTGGCTCACAACCATCTATAATGAGATCTGGTGCTCTTTTCTAGCATGCAGGTGTACATTCAGGCAAAACATTGTATACATAATAAATTAATTAATTTTTAAAAAAGAGTATAAACTGCCTGGTGCTGGTTTAAAAACAACAACAACAAAAAGCATGATGAGCAAGCCATGAGCAGCAAGCCACAAAGGAGCACCCTCCATGGCCTCTGCATCAGCTCCTCCTCCAGGTTCCTGCCCTGTGTGAGTTCCTGCCCTGACTCCCTTCAGGGATGGACAGCCATGTGGAAGTATACGTTGAATAAACCCTTTCCTCCCAAGTTGTTTTGGTCATGGGGCTTCATCACAGAAATTATAACTTTAAGACAAGAGAGAATAAGAATAATACTGTCAAGTACAAGATGCCAGAGCCTGGAACAGCATGAGCAGTTATGGGAGACACAACGCTTAGTGTTACTTTGTTGCTCTCCAGGAAGTACACACAACGAAGAATGATCTGTATTTTTTCAAAGCTGTAATAGAATGCTCTAATAGATAATTAAATGGTCTTGCTATAGAGGCTTTTGTCTGATTCAAATGCAACTCAAATGACTTATTGACTAGGTCACAAGTTGTTTCTTTGGCTCCTCCTCGGGCCTCTTTCTACATTTCACCCTTCTCAGGCTTGGATATGCAGACCCATGGAGAGGAAATGGCTGTAGTGTTTCGTGTCAAAGCAATCCAAGAGAAGCCTTGCTCTGCCACCCAGTGCTATATAATCATGGACAAGTCAAGTTAGTCGTCCTCTTACGTGTTAAGCAGAAGCGCTAACGGCGCCGTCGTCAGAGGTTGTTGTATTAAGTGGGAAAGCCGTGTAGAAGGTACACAAGCTAAGGGCTGGCTCCTGTTGAGTTCAGTAATGTTAGTTAGTGCTCTTACTGTTATTCTGGAATTCAAGCATGAATTTCTATCCCTTAAAATTTCATCTCTTTAAACCCACTCATTGAGAGAACATTGCTTCATATCAAATGCAAGGCAGCTAACATTCCATGAACACTGTTTCTGCAAGTGCTTTATCTCAGTTATCTGTCTTTCTCTATAATACATTTGTTCATGTCACAAAAACAGTCAACTTGGTTAGCTGGTCAAACAAATGTATGTTAGTGTGGAAAATGTCTTATACATTACAGTATTTATTCATTTATTTATTTTAGATTACTGTGTTTAAAAGCTCAACAAAGTTTTCAAGACTATATCTTATGGTCTTGAAATTATAAAAAAAAAATCATTTCAAGAATCAATAGGTAAATACCTAAGTTGCTATGAAAGAAAGACAATGGCAGGATTTAATTATAGTTGTTTAAAAGTTCTTTCCTTTTTCCTTCCTAAGTCAGTATATTAATATGAGTATTTAAATTTCCCACAAATACAACTCCATTTTAAACATGGCTTTTATCCCAATGGCTAGTGATTTCTTTATATAGTACATCACTTGAAAATTTTTAATTTGTCCTAATGAGTTGAAGGGAAGCTAATGAACAGACCATATAAAGATACATTCAAAACACCGGAAGCAAGTTGCTACAACATAAAGGAAGACGTGTTGTTAATGTGGCTGTACCTTTGCCCACAGATGATAGAACAGTTGAGTCAGCTGGTGACTGACCACCTGGGAATCCAACGCTGGCTCTTTAAAATGAACACAGAATTTGGAGGAAATGGGACAGCCTTTTGTGACATTCCTTCCCATCTACAGTGCTACCCATGGGTGCTAAAGGAGAGTAACAGATTTGGCCATGATGACTGGAAGAAGAAGTGGGCACAAGTGAGTGTTCAATGGTGACTTAAACCGTAGTGCTGTGGACAGTTAGGGGTAAGGTCCTTCCTCCCAGACTCAGCTCTGCTATGGATCAGCACAGCCTTTCCTGGGCCTCCGTTCTAATGTACAGCATGACCAGACTTATTGGGTTACTTAAATGTCCATTTGGGGGTCCAAAAAGTCTTTTTTTTCACACCTTTGAATTGATTATGATACCTAAGAAATGACTAAAAGAGCCATAATCAGGTAGCATTGCAAACCTGAGCATTGGCACCGAGCAGGTCCTGTGCTGCTGTCAGCTGTTGTGATTAAGCAGTATTCTATTCTGAGAAGTTCTGCTAGGAAGTGGCAGTGACTGGCAGCTGGCGTAGAATAGCATTCTGCCCAAAGCCATTATATATTTGAAGATGCTCCAAAGAAATTTATGTAACTACTGGTCCCCATGAGGTGCTGAGAGAAGGACATACCCCAGAAGAAAACTCACAGCAAAAGCTGAGGAGCAGGCTCAGTGTCTCAGGCTATGAGTCCACATGTGTTGGTGAGATGAATTATGTAACTTCAGTCTGTGCCAATTTTACTGAATAATTATACGTTTAATGCTTAACCTGACCTGTCAGTACTGACCCACACTGCATCCTTAGACCAGCTTCTCTTTATTGCCTGACCTTGTTTTTGGCTGGCCTACTAGAAAAAAGAAAATTGAAAGACGAACTCCTTCACTGGCTCCTTCCCTTCCAGCATGCATAGCGGTGGCCTGCGCAGTGATCTGAATCTGCCTGCGCATCCCTCTACAGACATCTATGAATCAAGACACAAGTGATAGGAAGGAAGGGGCACACTGGTGGGAACCACATTACTCCTGGGCAAGTGAAATGATGAATAAATGTGGAGAACAGTCAGGAGGGAGAGTTTCCGTTGACGAATGGGTCGGTTCTCCCCATGATCTATTCTGGGCTTCTTCCCTCTCCAGCAGTGAGTGGACTAAATGCAGTACCTGTCATGGCTAGCTCTTTACATATTATTTAAAGGATAGCAAAGTGAATTACTCTTCTAGAAAAAAAAAACAAAGAAAATGTATTTAATTTTGAGGCACATAGAGGTTTCTCTTATGTTCTCTTTGAATAGAATTTTATCTTTTTGAAGCAAAGCTGTTAAGTTTAAACCATGAAAAAGTCTAGCACTTTTATTTAAGGAATTGAAATACTAGTGTGTACAGTGTTTGCTTGCCTCAATATTTCAAACCAATAATTTTTAAAGAATTCCCCTGATATTAGATTGTGATAAACATGCAATGTTTGACTTTGAGTTTTAAAAATATTTACAGTATTGACATTTGGCTGAATTGTGGTTAGAAACCTCTCTGTAGATTATTTAATTTCAATTGTTTTAAACGATGCCATTTTAAATTGTTACCAAATACATTTGGCACTGTTGTTAATGTTATTAAATTTGAAACTCATAAATAATTAATCATCTTTTTAAATCATTTAAAAAACTTAACAGGATAAATAATTATTCAGAAATCCTGTTATAATGTAGGGCTCATACGTGGCTATGATGTGTGAGAAGCCAAAGATGAATATAGAAATAAAGCACCTGTGAGCTCCCTTCCCTCTTGCAAGGGACAAAGGATAGCATAGCCTACACCTTCAAAGGGAAATCCTCCTCGCAGAGGAAGCGAAGTGAGTGTTTATTGAGAACTTAGGATTGGAATGCACCTTTGTTCCAGAAGACCATTGAAATGGTGCACATTTAGACATCAAAGCATTACTTTATGAGCACAAGCGTATTTTAATGTCCTTTTACAGTCTGCAGACCTGTTCCTTTTGATAATGAAGATGTTGTGTCATCAAGCCTAGCCTGGCACATACAAAACATATGCTGGCAGGTTATTAAAAATTTCAGCTTCTTGATGAAAGACTATCCTGCAGGCTAAGAGTCCAGAGAAAGACTCCATTCTGGGAGAATTATTAGAAATGAGAATATGACTGTAAGCACTAAATTATGTTAATACTTACAAATAGCATCATTTGCATAGCGGTTTGTGACATGATGCCGTGATTTCTCTTATTGGCACATTGCAGGAGACAGATGAAAGCAGAAGCGGTGCTGTTTATGGGGTGGGTGCTAGACACTGGTCCTAGAGGTAGGTAGGATGGGGTGTAGACCAGCTCTGTAACACAAAGATCTCCTCTTTTTCCATTCTAATTTTGAAATAAGCTTTGGCTGGTTGCAGTTAAAAGTCGCAGGAGTCATAAGGTGCTAAAAAGCCATAGTCATCTTTGAAAGCTCAGTATGGAGACACAGGCATCTTTGGAAAAGCAGAGAGGCCACACTGAAACAAAACACAAATTTTCTTTTTTCTTTTCTCTTCTTTCCTTTTGGAGGACAGTCATAAGCCTCTACTTGTCATTCTGTTGTCTAAGGAAGCCAGCTCCCCTTGCCTCACCCACTGGGTTTTAATCAGTTCAGTTGCTGAGTGCACAGTGCCGACATTTTGGCTGAATTGTGGTTGGAAACCTCACTGCAGATTATTTAAGGTTTGTGACTCCTCTTGCACAAATGCAAGATTTCTTGCTTCTGAGTCAGAGTGTTTGTTTCCATTAGTAAGGAACAAAGACTTAACTGGAAGGCACACTTGTAGGAGGAAGCCTCCTGATTCAGTCTCCTGCCACAGTTTGGGAAACCCATATCTGCTTTCTGTGCTAACAGTCTTTCGGTGGCTGTTTTCTATTTTTTTAAAGGGTAAATCTTCCCTTTCTCACACTACTTTGTTTTACTGTGGTGGAGTAGTAAACATTTGGTAATAAGCATCACCCAAAGGGAAAGATCCTAATCCAGGGCTCGCAAACTTAGAAAGGCAGAATAAGCCATAGTTCTTATTAGAGAATGAAGCCAGCAAACAAACATACCATTACAAACAAACCATTCAAAGGTGAACTGCACCACAGTATGCTCAGAACAGCTCCCACTGCCCCAGGGAAGCCTTGAAAGCAGAAGTGGGAACCACTTTCAGGTGGCTGACCTGGGTGACTCATGTGGAATGTGATATGGTTTTATTAGATGAACTCAAAGAGGCGCTGACTCATAACTAGAGAATGTTTAGGAAAGTTAAAAGATAATATAACAATATTAAAGAAACGTCTAATCAAATAAGTGTAAAATCACTTTTCCTACTGCCTTCATTTTCCTGAATTAATTTTCAAATGTGTATTGTCTCTCATTGCCACAATAATTGTAAGGATGCTAATTAAACACAAGGTCTTAGCCATTCTCCATGTTTATTCATATTCATCACAATTAACAGCTGCATGTTATTCCCTTTTATAGATTAATTCTAAAATGCTAAACCTGTCTGAAAACTTAAGCTCTTCTTTGTTTTTGTTTTGTTCTTGTTTATTTGTTTTGTTTTTTTTTTAATTGTTGGCCAGAGAAAAGCTTTGTTTTTAGTTTGTGCCTTAAAAAAACTAAACCAGCCAACCGAGCAAACAATTCCGGTTATTTTTCTATAGGAGACAGCCCCAGGGTAGAATGCTGCATGTAGCAAAGGGGCTCTGGCTCTTGTCTGTGTTTAGGAGAATTGCTAGTGGCTTCCTACAACCACCAGCAGAACAAGGAGCTGAGTGCACACAGACAAGACTTTTTAAGTTCCTGGAGAAGATACCTCCCCACAACACCCACACTTAGGCCCTGGCTTTGTGGCCCACGCCGTGTGCTACTGCTCTGGCAGATTTTCTTTCTACAAACTCTCACAGACTCCCTTACAGCACAGATGTCCCTATGCCACAGTCACAACTTTACGGTGCTTCCTTTCCCACAAGGCAGTGAACTGGGAGGTGAGGAGAGCTGTCAGTGTGCACACCTCAGCTGCAGAAGGGAGGAACCTGCTCAGGTGTCCCTAGAAAACCCAGATGTCTCAGCACATGCATACCTGTTAACGTGCATAGTTGACAAAAAAGAAACGTATATATTATGTTTTGCCCAGTCATGGGGAGATATACTTTGGTGCCTTTCCCAAGTTAATACACTGTCATAGTCTTTTGAGTCAGCCTATAAATTATCAAAAAGTGTTGAATAGCCTACCTTCCCAATCTGATGCAGCACTAAAAGCATGATGAGAATTCAATTCATTCTCTCTCTTTTTTTTTTTTTTTACATAAGCCTCCAAAATTTTGTTTATTTTTGTTTTTACTTATTTAAGACATAATTCAGGTTTACATGGTAAATTATTTTAAGCAGAAAAAGAGTTAAAATGGATCAGTCTGAGGCTGAAAACTCACCTGCTGATTTTTCTCAAGGTACCTGAGATGTGGTTGGCTTGACAAGGCCCCACTGCTCTGCTCTTAGAGCTTACTAGGAAACAGCCATAGCCAGATTACCATGGCTCTTTACGCTACCATTTCCTTATCTGGAAGTAGATAACAGTATACCTGTCTCATGGGGCAGGGATGAGAATTAAACGATTCCTGTGAATTGGCTAGTAATGTTCTTAGCATGTAAAAGCTTAAGATACTGTTGCTGTGTTGCTTTTTATTATGAATATTAATTAAATTTGTATTGTAAGAAAACAAAAGCAATACTGAGCAAATAAATACAAATCAGCGGTTCTTTGGCAGTTCAGAAGATCATTTAGAAGGTTTTTGTAGGCCTTCAAGAATACTGTAGTATGCATCAGTTATCATTACACAAGATGCTGTCAAAAAGTCAAAATAATGATCCAACTGTCCCTATGCTATGATTTTCCTAATGAATATCTTTAAAAAACAACAAAAACAAAAAAAGCAAAACAACAACCCTAGATGGAAGCCTGGCCTCTTACCTTTTGAGAGTAGAAAACAATGTGTTTCTTGGAGTTTTCTCCATGTTGAATAAAAGGCCTGGTAAAGTAGAGATTATTCCGACTAAAACATTGAGTCAGGATGCTTTATTTTCTGGTTCCAGTTGGCATGTTTTCTAATTAGTGCAGCAGCATGTCACCAAGATCATTGGAAAGTCTTAATCATTTA